GGATTTGCCTCAAAGATGCAGATGCAATGAAACGCCAGGACACCTGCACCCCGATGTTTATAGCAGCCATGTCCACAGTAGCCAAACTGTGGAAGGAGCCTCGGTGTCCATCGAAAGATGACTGGATAGAGAAGATGTGGTCTGTGTATACAATGGAATATTACTCAGCCATCAGAAACGACAAATACCCACCATTTGCTTCAACGTGGATGGAACTGGAGGGTATTATGCTGAGTGAAGTAAGTCAATCGGAGAAGGACAAACAGTGCATGTTCTCACTCATTTGGGGAATATAAATAATAGTGAAAGGGAATATAAGGGAAGGGAGAATAAATGTGTGGGAAATATCAGAAAGGGAGACAGAACATAAAGACTCCTAACTCTGGGAAACGAACTAGGGGTGGTGGAAGGGGAGGAGGTGGGGGGTGGGGGTGACTGGGTGATGGGCACTGAGGGCCGCACTCGACAGGATGAGCACTGGGTGTTATTCTGTATGTTGACAAATTGAACACCAATAAGAAATAAACTTATTATTTTAAAAAATGATAAAAAAACAAAAAAAAACATAGCTTCCTTAATATTGAGAAGTTTTGTTTTTGTTTTGTTTTGTTTTGTTTAATATTGGGAAGTTTTAACTTTAAGTCATCAAAGGCCTGATAAAGACAAAACTAAGTTTTGGTTTTCTGGACAGACAAAAGGAAAAAAAAAAACCACCTTTGCTTACATTTTCTTATCAAGAGCAGGCCACCCCTCCGAGAAAACTTTGTTTTAACGGAGAGAAAAGCAGAATTTTAATCTTATACCAGTGAACCTGTAAAATCCACTCATTTCAACCTTACTTCTGACCACATAGGAAATCCCTCCCCAGAGATCCTCCTTCGTAAACCTACAACATTTTCATTCGGATTTTGATGTCAGCTCTTGCTCTCCAGAGGCCCAGTCTCATCTGAGGACAAACTCACTTTCTTTATCCCCACACCATGTACCCCCGTTGCTTAGATCCTCCTCACGCGCCTTCCGCTCCCTTCCATCAGCCTTTAAACGTCTCAAGTCCTTGTCGGGAGGCCGTGCAGTGCTACGGAAGATCAGTCCTCTCTGACTGGGTTTCTGCATTTAGCAGAATTTTAACTCTTAGGAATCATAGTGTCCAGTGAGCACTAGAGAGTAATCAATTGTGAACTGTTACACCAACATTCTTAGCAAATTTATGAATATATTTCATAATTTTTAGGAACATGCGTTTTCCATAGTACGACTTTTCAGTAAGTCATAAAGCTTGTTTTCCAAGACTCGAATATCCTCAGCTTCTCTGCAGTAAGAAGTCAAAAGTACAAACCTGTGTGTAGTGATGATGGCTTTAGTGTTTTTATCTCGTTCGGAAAAGACTTAGGTGGCCAATGAGACCCAACGTAACATGCAAGCAGGACTTTAAAGTTCCAGGGATCCCTGGGTGGCGCAGCGGTTTGGCGCCTGCCTTTGGCCCAGGGCGCGATCCTGGAGACCCGGGATCGAGTCCCATGTCGGGCTCCCAGTGCATGGAGCCTGCTTCTCCCTCTGCCTGTGTCTCTGCCTCTCTCTCTCTCTCTCTGTGTGTGACTATCATAAATAAATTAAAATTAAAAAAAAAAAAGTTCCAGGCTACTAAAGACTTTGAAAGCTTTCTTACAAATTACCCGTGAAAACCTTGAGGTGGACAAAATTAACCATCATTTCAAGTCGTCGTTTCGCTGACAACAGAGCCCAGGGACCTATTCAACCTTTAGTAATCTTGGTAGAATAAAAGTCTTGTATTTAATGCTGAGGACGGACGCATCCGTCTTGAACCAACAAATTCACCCATTAGATTCAATACCAGGTATGTGCCACCTGGGTCCCCTTAAAGGTCAATTTGTTCCCCTTTGTCAATTTTTACCTGGGGCACCAGTGGGAAAATCTCTAGTGGGTGGTGTAAGTCCCGGGGGTGCTCCTCACTCCTCGGAGGAGCAGGAGGCCTGGGGCTGCAGGTGGAGGCTCCTCTGGGGTCCAGCCATGCAGGCCACGCCCACAGTGCGGGGACAGGAGGAGGGGACGGCAAGGAGGGAGGCGCTGCCAGCGAGGCGGGAGGTGGGGAAAAGCCCAAAGGGCCGAGAAGGGGGCTCCGGGTTCCACAGCTCATCAGCTCAGATGAGCAGACACATGGCTTTTACACCGATGGGTGCATATAGGGCATCCACGTCAGGCCCGGGGAGACGGGGAACTTCGCCGAAACTCCTTCAGTTTTGTGGGAATACTCCTCGGGGTCCCGTCCCCAGATACGCTCCCCCGAGAGTGGGCTCCAGCTGGCATGCCGTTAACCCAAGAAACGAATGAGGGAGAAGCCCCCACGAGCAACGAGAGTTCCCTGGGTCTGGGATCTGTCACAGGGAGGAGCAGAGGCAGGCAGCATCCCCTTTATAGGGACGACCGTGTTTCCTCCACCCCCCTGGGTTTATTAGGAGGACAAGGCCTGTTTAGACAATCAACCACTCCATCCGGAGGGGTTTAGTAGCCTGCTTAGCAGCCAGACACATTCTGCAAGGGGCCCTCCGGTTGGGGTCCTGATTTAGGGCCTGATTTAGGGCCGTGAGTGCCTGCACACAGCGCATCCCAGTCCATTTGCCCGGTTTCCTGTCAAATACATCTGATAGATTGGATTGAAGTTTAATGTCTCATTAATGGGCCATTTTCCCTCGTTTCCTAAGGGGTGCCAGCCGTGTAGTGTTACAGAAGGGCAGGCGCCCCTTAAGCCTTGCCTTATGAGTTGCTCCCAGTGGGTTAAATCTCATCCCAGGGAGAGTCTTAGGGAACCGGAGAAGAAACCCAGAAGGTCCGAGCCCGCGCACATCCACGCCACCCGGCCCCAGGCCCGGATTCCCAGGTGGTGACCCCGCAGGGTAGGTCAAGGGGTCCTGGTGTCCCAGCAGCTGGAGGCATTCGGGGGGGGGGAGTGGCTGTGATCCCCACCCTCCCCGGCCCCCGCAGGATGTGACGTGGGGCAGCCCCCGCTTCCCTTCTCACCCCAGGGTACAAATGGTACCGGGAGGGGATCAAAATACCGTGCCGGGAAGAACTTGCCATTTTTAACCCATGGAAAACCCTAGAAAAGTCTTACAGAGGGAAATCACTCAATTTTGTGACTTAATTAGCAGAGGACATTGACGGAAAACAGTGCAGATAAACCCATCACGGGCTCAGCGACTTCCATCGCAGGTGGCCCCGCGGCCCACCCGCCTCCCTGGGACGTCCCGTTGGGCACCAGCGTCAGCAGCTCCGGGTGGGTCTGTGGCCAGAGCGGCTACACCAGGGACGGGGAGGGGCCGTCGGACCCAGGAGGGAACCTCCCGCCGAGTCTTCGATTGGCAGCTGGCCTGCTGGGGGTTGCCTCAGGCCCACCACAGACAACTTTATGTAAGAAAAGGAGTATGGGGGGCATCAGGTTTCTGGGGTTTAATAATAACTAGGTGCCAGCCCAGGGCAGGCTTCTGCTCCTCCTGCAGGGGGCCACCGCGGACTGCAGCCGGAGCCACTGGCAGGAAAGCGTCCCCAGAAGGCCGCAATCCCCAAGAGCCCCCGAAATGAAAACAGAGGAAGAGAGAGGTTTGCACCGAGGCCTGGGGGCTGGACGAGAGGACTCAGGCTCCGTGTTGAGGCCCCAAGATGATGCGACGTGGGGCCCAGGACTGAATGGTCAACAAAGCATTCTTGAGACATTTTCAGGGCAGAGAGGGGTTTTTAGTATCACACGGGGACAGGACCCATCACTGGGATCGTGAGGGGCCACTGGTTACACATTTTTTTTTAAAGATTTTATTTATTTATTCATGAGAGACACAGAGAGAGGCAGAGACCCAGGTAGAGGGAGAAGCAGGCTCCATGCGGGGAGCCCGACGCGGGACTCGATTCCGGGACCCCGGGGTCACGCCCTGGGCCGAAGGCAGGCGCTCCACCACTGAGCTCCCGGGACCCCGGTTACACATTTTTAAGTTGGTGGCTAGAGACAAAGGAAGTTTCTAAAAGGATTTTCATATGTTGAAGAGGACTCGGAGGTGCTGGAGTTGGGGCTCCTGTCAAGGTTAGGGTGCTTTCTGCCTCCAGCGAAGCATTAGCAGGAAGGCCCTTGGGGGTTCTTTGAGGACCATCACCCTCTGCACGTCAATGGGCTGCAAGCTGTAAGGAAATTTAATTTTATCCACGTCTCTTTTGCCTTTGCTCTCCTCATCCAAGAATGCGCTCGCGAAACTGAGGAGCTCCGCGACCGGTTCAGTCCAGAGCACAGACGCGGGAGGAAGAGTCGGCACGTCGGGGGCGGGGGGCAGTGGGGTCCCTCCCAGCCCAGAGGAGACAGGTGGGGAGTGACGGGTCCCACCCAGTGGGCAGTGGATGGATCCCTGTGGATCCCAGGAGAGAGAGGGAAGCGCGGGATGCAAATGCCCCTCTCCCGGGGGACACAGACCTGCAGATGGGTGAGGGACGGGTGGGGCTGGGTAAGGAGAGAAGATGGGGGGCCGCGTGGGGGCCACGCGGTCGGGCTTCCAAACATCCCGAAGATGCCCGGCGTAAGTAAACCAGAGCAGGGGAGCAAACCGGACCACCCTGCCCTGGCTGTGGGCGCGGGCGGGGAGGTGTCCTTTCGTGACAAAGGGTAACCAGACCCCAGAAAGAAGGAAGCCACGCAAGACGCTGTCACCAGTCCTCACTCACTCAAACCGAGACAGCGCCAGAATCTCAAGGCCGCAAGTTTCCCAGTTGGTTCTCGACGGAAGTCCCCGAAAGGCCCTGAGGGGCAGCCAGCGGGACCCCGTGACTCCTGAGGGCTGTGGGTACCCCGCTGGCTGTCGGGTGTCCGCGGGAGTCACGCTGACATCTCAGCGTTGGGGGATTCGTGGCCCCGACCTACCTCACCTACCAGCCCCCGCCTGTCCCTCCTCAAGACTTTACGATCAAATTGCCGGGAATGAAAGACAAGGACTGAACCTTAAAAGTAGCAGGAGAAAAGCAACTTGTTGTGTGGAAGGGAAACCCTGCAGGATGGTCAGCGACGTTCGAGCAGACGGGCGTTGTCGGCGCTCTGGCCGGGGTGCCCACGGGGAAGCGAAACACAGCCTGAGGCCAGAAGGCACCTGCTGAGACGAGCGAGGACGTCCGGGGAGTGCGAAGTCGTGGATCCGGAGGGCGCGATCCGAGTGACATACGTCAGTAAAACACAAATACTGTCGGCTCTCACGTCCGTGGGGATGCGAACGAGCCAGACTCCGCCAGACTAGTGTGGTTACCCGGGCGCGGAGTCGGGGTCAAAGGCCGCAGCCCGCCAGGCGTGCGAGGGACAAGGTGCAGGGATCCCGGGCGTGGCATGGGGACGGCCCCAACTGGTGCACCGTGTGCCTGAGATCCGCTAAGTGCTCTGTGTCCTCAGGACGCGTGACCCAAGCTGGTGGGAGCCGCTTGATCCTAGTTGCATCTGTCAAGTGTGCACGTCCACAGCCACAAAGAAACCGAGTTAGACAGCCAGTCGCAGCGGAGGTCTTAGCTTCGGGCCGACCACGGGGCCTCCGGACGCTAGAAAGTCGGGGAAAACCAAGACAATAGCTCACCATTTAAAAAGCATTTATTTGGGGACAGGAGCCCAGGCCGCCGTATGCTGACTCTCCTACTAGAAATGAGCGCACAACCTCACGCAGACGAGAAGTTCGCGGCGTCTTGTTTAACGCCGAGGGGCCGAGTTCCTCACCGAGTCTCTGCTATCGCTCTACGTGCACGTGACGTTTGCAGAAATAAAGATCATTTTTAAGGATCCCTGTTCCGGTTTACCTACAACTAGAGGGATTACTTAATACCTTCGTTAAGCTGATTCCTCCTCCTAAGAGATGCACGAATCCACGTACCCACGCCCCCGCCCTCAGGCTCTCAAAGTAAAACATGCCGTCACCGCATCCACAGCCAGTCACGCGTTTGGCGATGCCCGAAAATGAGCCGAAAGGACTGTGACCATAGGAATTGGAGAATGTTGACTATTACATGGCACATGTGATAAAATTAGTACAGAGCATTTAAAGACGTGTAAGTTAACCATCCACAGAGAGGAAAAAAATCCTTTACAGGTTGGATAAAGGTTTATAGGGCAAAGAGCAGCATTTTAAAACCTATTAAACATTGCTTAACTGGATAGTAAACCCTGTCAGTGGAGAAATTAGTGTTCTATGATTCTCAAAGAAGAAAATAATATGAACTTTAATCCATGGTAACGTAGTTGGCTGGAAAAATGCCAGTTTGACCCCGCAGCTTCCCTTCCCACCAATCAAAGTGTGAATCCGTTTTTGATAGGACTGTGATTCTGTCTCCAGCTTGAAAATTCAAATCCCCCGGCTGTTGTCCTTCAAAAGAGTATAGTGCCGTCACTTCTATGGGCTGACTCAAATTGCCTAAAAAAAAAAAAAGTATTTAAATTATTTGCATTTTTAATGGGAAAACCTGGGAAAGGTGTGAAGGTAAGAAAAAAATGGAATAATCCAGAAGATAACACTACAAGTAAACCCTTGACAACACAAGTGTGAGGTGCACTTATATATGGATTTTTTTTATGAACAGTATGATACTGTAAATGTATCTTCTCTTTATTTTCTTAATAACCCTTGCTTTTATCTGGCATAGTGTATTGTAAGAATACAGCATATAGTACATGTAACATAAGTAGGTGTTTATTTACTGTTTATGGTTTTGGTGAGGTTTCTGGTCTATGGCAGGCCATCGGCACTTAAGTTTTGGGGGAGTCAAAAGTCATATGTGGATTTTCAACTGCACGGGGTTTGGTGGCCCTACGCCCCCCGCCCCACGCCACTCGGAGGTCAGCCGTATTCACATCTTCCCCCATTTAATAGAAGGGTCATTATGGCTCCACGAACAGTAGCTGTTGGAGAAACACGCATTTATATTCATGATTATATCATAAAAGACTTAATTGAAAAACCACGCTCCAGGATAGGGCTAGAGAGCGCCGTGCTCGGTAAAATCAGTCGGTCAGAGGAAAACAAATACCGTATGATCTCACTCATATGTGGAATTTAAGAAACAAAATGAATGACCAAAGGAAGAAAAAAGAAAAAAAAAGAGAGAGAGAGGGAGAGAGACAAACCAAGAAACAGACTGAGACTCCGAACTCCAGGGAGCCCACCGACGGTCACCGGGGGGCGGGCGGCGGGACGGGAATTAGTGCACCTGTCACGACGGAAAATAAAATGACATAAAATGTAAAAAAAAAAAACAAAAAACCCCACACACAAAAAAAACCCCAGAAGCCATGCTCTGTAGCTTTGAGGGTCCAGCTCAGATGCACTTTGCTGGCTCATCACCAGACAGGTTTCCCACGGGCGTCGTGGCTGTTTTCATTTCTGCACTTGCTTTAGATTTTCTTTCAAAATAGAGATCAAACTCAAGTCAGCACAAGCACCACGTCTGCGTCTGCGTAACAAGCGCTTCAACACGATGCGTAGAACGTTCTGTATTGTACTGGGAAAAAAAATCCCTGGAGAATTAAGGAGTTACTATGAGTAAAGCACAGTATTATAAACTGTGTAATATAAGAAATATAAGGACACGCACTCCCGTGTTCTCAGCCACGTGGAGTTCTGTGTTTCTGTTCCACATATTTTGTGCATGTATCAGGCAGCGAGATGCTTTTTAAGCGCATCTTACTGCGGATACACTGAAAATATAAATAACCTGATTCTAAAAAAAAAAAAAAATTACTTATCTGAATCCTGGCCTGTCAGTAAGACATAAAAAGTCAGGAGTCTACACGCGGGACCGCGACGCTGACCGCAGCTCACACAAGATGCTGCCCCGGCGCTTCAGGTGCCGTGTGGCTTTTTTTTTTTTTTTTTTTGGCTCTTTGAATCTACAGCAACAGCCCCCAAAACAGCCGACGCAATTGTGCCACAGGTATTACCGGCACAACTATTTTTTTCTATCATGCAGACGTGTTCTGCATATTTTTATATATTTTATGCTCTATTTACTTTCAGTCTATCGATTGTAAGAAAGAAGGTTAAACGTATATTGCAGAAGAGCACGGTTGGGTATCGAGTGGAGCCCCTCGAGCCGGGGGGCGACCGCCGACACACACGAGCACTCGGACGATCATCCTCAGGGCTCCGTGTCGTCAGCTCAGAGGAACGTAAGGTGATGTCACAGAAGAAGTCATCCTGGACGTCATTTTCTCATCAATAATTGCATTGATCACCTCCACTCACGAAGCTCAACCTCCATGAACCAGACTTAATTCACGAGAGCCCTCGAGCGGCTGCTCCTCTCACCTGGGCCCTGGATGCACCGGAAAATAAGAAGAAGCAAGCAAAGAAGGTGAACACGGGCATGGCCTGGAGTCACGGCCGTCTCCGCGGCACCTGTGTGCCTCGGCTGCACAGAGGATGGCGACAGTGGCGACAGGTGGCGGCGCTCAGTGCAGCGACAGCAGCCGTGGCCACGGGGACAGGCACGCACTCGCCTGTCCTCCCGCGGCTGGGGCGTGCGTGGGGAGCGGAGGTCTGAACGGCGGAGGCCTGCCCGACCCGGGCCCACGGCCTGCAGCGAACACATGAGCCCCACGTTGCTGCCACCGGCTGCACGGGAGGCCTGGGCGCTTTGCATGTCAGGCAGCGTCTCAGGAGAAGCGGCTGTGTCCCTGCGTCGCCGGGGTCCCCAGACTCCGCAGATGGCGAGACCCGGGGGCCTGGGCCATCACCGCCGGCGGAGCCAGTTCTTGCCGTCGGGGATACAGTCGGCGATGAACAGCTAGAGGCAGGATACCACGCACTGAATGAGAGACGGAGGGGCTCCCAGGCGGGCCCAGTGCTCCCCGCTGGGGGCTGCCCGGCGCCCCGGGAGTCGCAGTTCCAGGCACCAGGGGTGCGGAGCAGCGGGGCCATCGATCGGGGTGCTGCCAGGGAGGAGGCTGGCATTCGGCGTCCCAACCGAGCAGAGGCGGGGCGGGGTGGGGGTCCTCGCAGGAGGGGAGACGGTGGAGAGAGGGCCACGTGGGCGCCGGGTCGGGAGAACAAGAGGCCGGGGCCAGCAGGTGCTTGGGGCACAGCCGCTCCACGCCGCCTACGGTCAGTGTTTGCTTCCATCAAGAAGGCTTGAGGTTCTTCTCCACTAGCAGTATTAGGGATGCTTCCCGTAAGGAAAAGGTTAACGCCCACAAAATAGCTTATTAGAAAAGACAAGGTGAGCCCTTTTTCTCCCCGGGAAGGCAGTCCGTCCTTCCAGAAAGGGGGCACCCCGGGGCGCAGAGAGAGCTGCCGGGACTCCAATGCCTGCCATCAAGACGCCTCCTTCCTCGGCCGGGTATGCCCGCGAGTTCTTGGGTTTAAACCCACGAGGCTCTTTGAAGCCATTAGCCGTCCTCCTCGTCACGGTCTCGGAATTCAAACGCACGTGCTCGGTCTCCCCCAGATCTGGACCCCGATGAGAAGGAGCCGCAGCGACTGGCGGCCACCCAGGGGCTCCTCGTCGGTGATGCGGGGTCCCCAGGATGTCACCGCGGCGCGCCCCGTGTGGCAGACGCGGTTCAGGGAAGGGTCTTCGCCTTCGCCAGGTCAGGTTCAAGGCAAGTGGAAGCACGAGACCACGCCTTCGGTTTCCTTACATGCTTAATGCAGGCGTGAGCTGCACGGCTGACTTAGCTCTGACCCCTGCCCCCCCGGGCCAGGGTGGCCTGTCACCACCAGGGGCCCTGCAGGAGGGTGGGGGCTGCTGGTGAGGGAGGCACACGAGGCCGCTAGGTGAGGCCAGCAGACAAGCGGCCCTGAGAGGTGATGTCTGGCAGCTGGGGCGGGTGCCCCCGACACCGGGGCACGGAGTCCGAGCGTCCACGCAGCACAGGCTGGCCCCTGCCGTGGATGTGCCCAGGCTGCCGCCGAGAAGTACGGGGTGGATAGGAGGCGGTGGTGGGGACGGACATAGGAGGGCACAGGCTGTTACAGAAACGTCCAGTTAACCAGGCTGTGCACTTGCAAGGCTGTCTTGCTAAGAGGCCCAAGTTCCACGGAGCTGGAGCTTCCAAAGGCGGCCGAACCAAAGCACACGCAGTCTGGGGAATCGCTGCTTTGCCACCAGCCCGTGCAGAAGCGCAGCCAGTCACGGGTGTGGGACAAGCCGAGAGCAAGCCCACGGGGCCCGGCCGTCCCCGCGAGGTGCGTGTGAGCTGGGGCTCAGGCCTGTCGCAGCCAGGGCGACAGAGAGGCCCTGGGGAGACCTCACCCCGTTTCACAGCTGCTTTTTAAAAGTCTGATAGTGCAAAGTCAGTTTTATTTTAAAAATAGGCTTTAAATTTTCCTTTTCAGTTTTTTCTTCCGAATGCCTTATATTTGGAGAAAGGACTAAAATAAATAAGTATCGTAGTACCCACACGTTGTGCTACTTAGCTCATCCTACCCTCAAACGTTAAAACTGATAGGCCGGCCGGCCGCGGGCAGGTAACGCTGTCGCGGGTCACAGGCTGGTGGCCGCAGTCCTGAGTGCAGGCCCCAGCCCGCTCCCGAGCCCACCCGGGGGTGGCTTCCCGTGGCTTCACACTGTCCCCGCGCCTCTCGGGGGTGTCGTCATGCTCACGGGGCTGCAGGCCGCGGGCACGCTGCGGAGGACCCGAGGGACATGGTCACAGTCCCTGCGGTCGCCTCACCACAGCCCCAGCGTCCCGGCCCCCAGGGTCCCCCCAAGCGACACTGCTCCGTTCCCCTGAAATTTAAGGTCCCGGTTAACGGCAGGCCGCCGGAGCCGTCGCCTCATTCCAGCCGAGTCCTTAGAAGCCCGCCGCGTGACATCGCGGGCCGCACACACGCCTTCACCGGCCCTGCCTCTGCGGGATGCGCTTCCAAGGGTCAAATTTTGACAGCGTCCGAATCTGGCTGTAAATCACGTCTACAGGGGCAGGTTTGTCCCCAGACACCCGAGTCTTCTCACTGCCCCAGGGGCCACAGGGCCCCCCGCCCTGCAGGCCACACCTGGGCGGGCACAGGCCCGTGCACCTGCCGGGGAGCACGGCCAGGAGAGGGGCCCAACGGGGAAGCCCGGCTGCGAGCGGAGGAAGCCAGTGCCCTGGGCCACCAGGAAACGTTGACTTCTGCTTAAGGACCTCGGCTTGAGAGACATTTTTGAAGCACTTTATAAGTTTTAAGAAGAAGCAGATACTTTGTTAAAACTTGACATTGTGTTTCCGTGAAACGGGTAATTCCGCTGCAGGTTCTGTGGCCCCGGCGACAAGAGACGATGGGAAAACATAAATGGGCTATTTACAGCGGGTTAACCTTCGCCCTCATTTTGTGTCCTGTTTACATTTCTAAATAATTGCTTAATTCTTCTTAGGAACATTTTAATTCTAAAGAATTTTAATTCTTCTTAGGAACATTTTCTAAGGAATATTGAAGTAAGATAGGTCGGGGGACTATTTTCATCACAACAAACCCTAATACGTTTTATGAAGCAGTTCCCAATTAATGGCAAAATATCTGAACATGAAAAATAAAAAATTCCTTAAAAAAATATTCATGGGACTAAAAGCCAGAAAAAAATATGATGATGACGACGTTGCAATCCACAACGAGCAGAACAAGTCATTCTATCGTGACAAGATCTTAAAAGATCGCGCGGTTGGGTCCTCAGACGAGGCCCCGGGGTCAGCGGCGCCCGTCCCAGGCTGGGGGCTCCTCAGCAGGAGCTGTGCCTCTTGAGCTCCCCATCACTCTCCTTGTCTCAGATTAAAAGCAAGTAAGAGAGCAAAGCATAGATAGCATTTTTTTAAATGAAGCTACTTCTCAGAACAATGTGCATCTCCTACAAATCAAAGCGGGTCTGGACACCTTCCCAGAGGGTTTGACAACCTGCCTTCCTGATCAGAAAGTTCGTGACTGTAAGATGGATGTGAATCATTTTTGACATGTAGATGTTTTACCTACCGACTCTCTCCTGATAGCTGGAAAGTTCAGGGTAGAGCTTGTATTTGTTTCTGTCACCTGCAAAATAGAAAAAAAAGGGAAGGGGGGGCATTTAGAAGACTTATTAGCGTATATAGTATATAAAATAGCCAAGAATGCCGAATCTTGCCCTTGTGAAGATTTTTTGAATCACTAAGACTGACAGAAATATCAGTATTTTATCACACTTCAAATCAAGAGGAATGCCTGAATAAACCCAGAGAGAACACCGACCACAAAGCAGCGGGCAAATACCTGATAGTGATGGATCAGAAACCACAAGTCGCTGCCTTGGAATTATACGTTCTCGGATAACACACATACATCTTTTTCTGGAAGTGATCATAAAATGCCTGAATTTTTATAAAATGTGTAGCCCCCAAGACAGTGATTTTCAAACATCTTTGCTTAACCCCTAAAATAATTTTTAAACAGCATGTATTCACTTGTATATTTTCGATTTAACACCTAAAATTGTTCAATATAATGCTAAAAGTTGTAAAGGGCCTACTTTGCAGCATATTTCAATTTCAATTATTTAAAAAATTATCTCTCTCTTTGGGGTAACGGTATCTAAATGTCATAGTATAAAAATGAATCATTATTTTTTTAGGAGATTTTATTTATTTATTCATGAGAGACACACAGAGAGAGAGAGGCAGAGACACAGGCAGAGGGAGAAGCAGGCTCCCTGCGGGACCCCCGATGCGGGACTCGATCCCGGGACTCTGGGGTCACGCCCTGGGCTGAAGGCAAATGCTCAACCGCGGAGCCACCCAGGAGCCTCTGTAGTGTTCATTTTAATCTTCAGGTCATATTTCCATTCCATTTGTCCCAAAGATTTTATACTAAGGTATAAATACATTTTTATGTAACAGTTTCTACAACAAAAATTTGTACATGAATTTATTTTTATGTTATTTGAAGTAAGCACAAGGCTCTATTAAATAATTTCTTATAGATCGATGATAGTAATCATTATTGGTACACAGCTCACCAAAATCTTAAATATACTATGAATTTTTTTATTTACTAAACATGAAAGCAAATTTATATTTGAAAGGCATCTTCATAGACGGGTCTTTTAGTTCACATACACAAGATGACTATTTCTTATTTCTAGAATGACAAAGTTTCAATATCAAATTGTATCTTAGTATTATTTATTTTTATTTTTATTTTTTTTAGTATTCTTTTTTAAAGATATAGGTGGTAGAAACGCTGGTTTTATAAAAGCTAGAGAGGGTTAAATGGATATGTTTCACAGCAACGGAACAGGATTATTTTATATTCCTTCCAAGATGAAGGTAAAAAAAATGACTTAACTATAATTAAAACAATTTTATAAATTTATATTTTATAAATAAAATATTACTTTTATAACTTTTTGTTTTGGTGATAGTTAGCTGTGTTATTTTTTTTTAAGATTTTATTTATTTATTCATGAGAGAGAGAGAGAGAGAGGCAGAGACACAGGAGGAGGGAGAAGCAGGCTCCATGCTGAGAGCCCGACGTGGGACTCGATCCCGGGACTCCAGGATCGCGCCCTGGGCCAAAGTCAGGCGCCAAACCACTGAGCCCCCCAGGGATCCCCTAGCTGCGTGATTTTTAAAGTAAGTCATATACAATGACAATATTAACGACGACTGTTAGGACGTGACAGTTCCGTTGTCCCCCTTCAGTTCTGTTGGGCAAAGAAACCGAAATCCGGGACCTCTGAAGCCGGCGGCCTCTGCTCGGGGGGTCGGGGGGCTCACTAGTGGCCGCCGTCTGGATCAGGCTGGGCCTGTTCTTGCGTTCACGGCCGGACTCGGGACCATTGGGGTCTCCTGCCCAGACGTGAGAGAAGGCGGGGGGGGGGCCGGGGCCCGCGGGGCGGCGGAGCAGGAGCTCGGCAGTGCCCCGGGACAGAGGCCCACCCGCCAGACGGCTGCTGCCAGAAGCTGAGGGCGCGGGGACGGAGAGAGCAAAGTGGCAGGATGGGGAGGACGGTATCACTATGCCGAAAGAATGCTTTTTTTTTTTTTTAATTTATTTATTTATGATAGTCACAGAGAGAGAGAGAGAGAGGCAGAGACATAGGCAGAGGGAGAAGCAGGCTCCATGCACCGGGAACCCGATATGGGATTCGATCCCGGGTCTCCAGGATCGCGCCCTGAGCCAAAGGCAGGCGCCAAACAGCTGCGCCACCCAGGGATCCCAAGAATGCTTTTTTTTAAAAAACTGACTAGAAATAAGAGATTTGGGGTCGTGGTCAGATCTAGGACAAAAGACATGCCGAGCAGGATTTTCGCAACGTAAAGATAAGCAGTCTGCAATAGAGACGGGAGGAACCTCCCGTTCACCTGCGCAAACCGAAATTATAAGGTACGTGGGAATACGCGCAACAAAGCAGGCACAGACACTCTGAACCCCCGCAAGTGGAAAGCATAAAATGGACAGATCACCACAGAAATGCCGAATTAGCGGCTGTATGTGTGCAACGTTGTTGTAAGAAATATCCCAAATCAGAGGCAGGTAAGCACGTGACAGCAGGTGGTGGGTGACAGCAGGTGGCAGCAGGTGGCGGGTGGCAGCAGGTGGCAGGTGGCAGCAGACGGCAGGTGGCGGGTAAGAGCAGGTTGCGGGTGACAACAGGTGGCGGGTGACAGCAGGTGGCAGCAGGTGGCGGGTGACAGCAGGTGGCAGCAGGTGGCGGATGACAGCAGGTGGCAGGTGACAGCAGGAGGCAGGTGGCAGCAGGTGGCAGGTGATAGCAGGTGATGGGTGGCAGCAGGTGGCAGGTGAGAGCAGGTAGCAGCAGACAGTAGGTGGTGGGTGGCAGCAGGTGGCGGGGCACAGGCCACAGCCGCTCCCCGCAGCTCGCTCTCGGCCCGTTCCTGTGGCCGCCGCGGCCCAAGCTGCCGGTCCTGTCACCCGTCAGCCTGACGCCCCGTGCCCGCTGCGGCCCTCGCCACCTCCGGCTCCCCACGCAGGCGTCTCCTGTCACATCATGACAAGAAGGTGAGGAAGCACAGGAAGAGATCTCAGGAGACAGAGTGACCAGGTTCACGCTGCGCGTGCTGCGGGGCCGTCAGGGCCGTTCGCTCTATGACGTGCTGTCGTCCGTGTGTGAGCCCCTCTTGTAGGTGAGACCTTATCTCAGGTAAGTGGGTGTCGGGGAGCACGAGTAACGCGGCTCAGTCCACCCAGTGGGACGAGGGAGGGCCCGTGCGTGGCAGCCACGGCCCACGGGCACGTGACACGTGCAGGGCAGAGGTCAGTCCCTCCCCACCTGCTCGTGCTCTCTCTCCCTCCCTGCGTTTGGCGTGACCCCGGGGTCTCAGGATCGAGTCCCCCAGGGAGCCCGTGTCTCTGCGTCTCTCTCTGTGTCTCTCGTGAATAAATGCAATCCTTTTAAAAAATAAATAAAACCACCTTATGAAATCCTGAGCGCCCAAGAATATGTAGTAAATAGTAACATCCAGAATATAAGTCTGTGGGTACACAAGAGAGAGGCTTATTTTGTTCCCCGTTTCAAATCCGCAGGATAACAGCCTTTGGGACAAATGACAAATAGAAGAAACCAAGAGACTTTAAAGATAAAATCTCTCTAATTGGAGAAAGCGTCTCCTGAATGAGAACAGAAGCTTTTCCCAACTACAGCAGTGAGGATTTGGAAGGGGCTGAGCGCTTCTTTGTCTCTCCCACACCCGTCAGTGCTTCTATTTGACGCTAAAGCTTAACGACGTAGCTTGATTTCTTAATAGCAATATTTAATAATTGCTTAATTATAATTGTATTTGAATTGCAACAAAAGCAATTACCTTGGGAGCCAGAGTTCGGCGGGACTTGCGCAGGTGACGGCTGTGGTCTCGACAGCGGTTTCGGGGGTAACTCTTTAGCCTGAGAGGGACACAAAAATGCACATAATTTTAACATACTTCTTTGCCGGGGAGCACATAAGGCTTTGTTCTTCCGACGGGCGTACCTGGCGCATTTGGTCCCATGCACCTGCTAACGAAACACCCCAACGAGCACCTGCCCTGTGCGCGCCGCACTGGGTGCGAACCGAGGCACCTGCAGGGGCGGCCACCGCCCAGCTCGGCGTGCGGGGCTCCATGTTGTACCGGGGGTCCCCCGACTCTGAAGGGGGTCACGGGCCCGGCGCACGGCGCCCGGTGCTCCCAGGCCCCTTAGGGACCTGAGCCGTGGGCAACGGGCCGTGTTCCTCCCCGAGGTCGGTACACACGACGCGTCCCGGTTACAGGACGCGTTCACAAGACCTGCAGGTAAACGGAACCGTGAGGGGCCCTGGCCGGTTGTCAGGAGCCCGATTCCGAGGCAGGATATGGCACAGAAAGCAGCGGCCTGTGCCCCGAGGGAACGTGGAGAGCCGTGCGTACAGCCGCCTTCCTCTGCTCCCTGGCCGCTCTCCTTGCGTTGATTCGTTGTCCCTCGTTCTCATACTTCTCGGTAAAGGAATCGAGAATTTCATAAAGATCTTCGGCTTGAGCGGGCCGCGGTACTTCTCCGAATAAAATGTCGTAAGCCCGGATATCTTGACAATAAAATCTAGTAAGAAACACCAGATTAGGAGCATTCATAGACGCGAATCTTTTCTAGAGTTAAAAGTAGGACACACACCTGTACGTAGGCATTTACGCGCATCTGGTACCTCATATTTACTATTTTTTCAAACATTAACTACAAGCCCTAACCTGGATTAAACCCTAAATTCACTCCCAAGCTCATCTCTAGAGTCAATCACCAAAAAATAGTTTGATACGCAGATCCTTCCTCAGATAATATAAAAAGCAAACGCACACACACACACACACATAAGCACATAATGCGAATATACCGAGAAGTGCATATATTCGTACAGGTTTTTGTTTTTTAAAAATGGTGCTTTGTAATATCTAATAACAAATACGGCTTTGTAGTTTCTTTGAGATGTTTGTTTTACAAATACATATAATCACATATTATATGCATTACTGACTTACCGTAATACCGAATTACATACAAAGATTGGCCTTGCATACCTCGAAGCCCTGCTCTGCGTTAGGAAGTATATTTGTTTCAGTTTATCCGGGATTCAGGGGAACGGCCGTGAGAAAGTCTCCCAAAGGCCCAGAATCAGAAGTTTTTAAGAGAATTCTTCATTTAAGTTTCTCATACTAATAAAAGCAGAAGTAAAAGCCTCTCTCCTGGCTTTAGGAGCCCAGAGCCGCAAACCTGCTCGCAGCCCGCCCAGGCCTCCTGCGCTCTCCTTCTGGGGCTGACCTAGAAGTTCCCCCTCCCTCCTTCCCCGTCACAGGACGCCTGAGTCCCCTCGGGGAGAATCATCGAGATCTGTCTCTGTTTTAGGGACGAAAGACAAAGGCCGAGTGCAGTGACAGGCCGCCTCTCACAATAGGAACAGTCTGACCTGCAAGGGTTTTACAGATGTTTGAAAAATACACTTCACATGACACGGCCAACTAATGGAATATTATAGCCATTAACTTACACTGAAGATTCTTTTTATTTTTTTACTATTTTTTTTTCTAAATATTTTATTTATTCACGAGAGACACACAGAGAGAGGCAGAGACACAGGCCGAGGGAGAAGCAGGCTCCATGCAGGGAGCCCGATGCAGGACTCGATCCCGGGACCCCAGGGTCACGCCCCGAGCCGGAGGCAGACGCTCAACCCCTGAACCCCCAGAGGCCCCTACACTGAAGATTCCTATAATGCCAAGTGGAAAAAAGGGTTTACAATGGGATCCAGTACAATTACAGTCACATGTGGCAAAACAAGGGGAATTACGTTTAGGAAAACACTGTAAGGCGATAAAGCAAAATGTGAACCGTGTTCATCTTAAAGGGGTAGAATGGTTTTTTTTCTTGTAGTTTTTTGTGTTTTCCGGATTTTCTCTAAGTACATATTACTTTATATTGAATCTTTAAGAAATATATGGTTAGAGTCAAATGCTGTGTTTAAAAAAGAATATACAGGCAGCCCGGGTGGCTCAGCGGTTGAGCGCCGCCTTCAGCTCAGGGTGTGACCCTGGGGTCCCGGGATCGAGTCCTGCATCGGGCTCCCTGCATGGAGCCTGCTTCTCCCTCTGCCTCTCTCTCTCTCTCTCTGAATAAATAAATAAAATCTTCCAAAAAATAAATAAAAAGAATATATAAATTTACTCTGCAAACTGTGAACAACTATATGGGTCTATGAAGTATTATTTTCCTCATCACACGTTCCTGAAATCAATTAAAACTATTTGGCTTGCACTTACTTTCGATTAGTTTCTTTCCTTTCAATCAAGCAGCTGCCTTCTAAAGATATGCCAGCAAACAGTCCTCTGGACTTGCAGTATGTGAAGACGGCAGCAGGGCTCCTTAGGGCCACATTTCCTTCTAAATTCCTGCAAAACACACGGTCTTGCATCACAGGACCACCAGGGGATGGACGCCAAAGGCGGTATCTGCGCGGCCCCGCGCTTCTCACTCAGAGAGGGGCTTGCTCTGTACTTAGTTCACTGGGTTTGCGCCTGACGTCCTGCTGGCCTGAGCCATCGTGTTCCAGGAGGTCCAGGGCAGGGCAGGGCACGGGGACGGACACATTATTTAAGACCTTTGTAACAGCGCGTGGTAATACAGGGGACCGCGCTGCCCAGGATACACGAAAGCTGAGGTTTTCCATCTTTGTCCTCCTTTCTTAAGACAGGAGCACACCTTCCACACTGAGGATTGTCATGGAATTTAGAAACCTTTTTAGATGACCATATGCTCTGGGTTTTCCGCACGTCTACGTGGCTCAAACGACCCGAAAATAGTCGTTCCTTAACAGAGAGCTAAAAGGCACGCTACGTACGGCAACCATCGCTCCAGTGAAACCCTTCTACTTAGGTTTTTCACAATTTAGTCTGAAGAAGATCTTTTTTCTTTCTCAGTCAATGCTGCCGTTTTTTTTATCAGTTATTTAAATTTGACTTGGCTCCTTCAGAGCGTAAAGGTCAATTTTATGTTCGATTCCAGTAGATACGATGGCCTGCATTTCTGAAATGTTTAGTTTCTTTTCGTGTGTTCTAGTTTCAGATTTTCTCACTTTATCACACCGGCTTTCTGATTTCCAAACAACCTCAGGCCCTCAGCTTATATAAATCCTTAATCGGTTTCATTGCAACTCAAGCTTCCTCCCCATGCAAAGCTGTGTACACTTTTTAAACCATTACTATCCAACAGCTGTTCGGAAAGTACCGCACGGTGCTCACCTTCCCAGGGGCCCAACTGCCACAGTAAAGTTCCCTCCAAGCGTCAGGTTACCGCCTTTTGCGAAAGCTTCAACTGCTCTGTCGTAATTCAGAATTATTACCAAATCTGATACCTGAAAATGAAGAGAACCATTTACTTACAATTAATTACGTGTCAATGTCCTTTAAAGCACATGCTGATTAAAACTCAAATATATACGATACGACGTAGCAAGAGTTTCAGTGTAGACAGTGAGAGAAGATGAAGGAAGAATCATTTGTATTTTGAGCTGAGGATGCAAGTAACGGCGATTTCCACAGGGCAGCACAGCAGACCCGGCCGAGCACTCACCAAGGACCACGCGTACCCCGTGGGGCTCTGTGCAAACCCTGTGGGGCCCTGTGCATACCCTGTGGGGCTCCGTGCATACCCTGTGGGGCCCCGTACAAACCCCGTGGGACTCTGTGCAAACCCCATAGGGCTCTGTGCAAACCCCGTAGGGCCCTGTGCATACCCCATGGGGCCCCCTGCATACCCCGTGGGGCCCCGTGAATACCCCATGGGGCCCCCTGCGTACCCTGTGGAGCTCCGTGCATACCCTAAACCCTGTGGGGCTCCGTGCATACCCCGTGGGGCTCTGTGTAAACCCCGTGGTGCTCTGCATACCCTGTGGGGCTCCATGCATACCCCAAACCCCATGGGGCTCCATGCAAACCCCGTGGGGCTCCATGCAAATCCCCAGTCTTCTCGACATGGTGGTGACGGGGGCCTGGTGAGCTTTGGGGGACTGTCCCAAGGACAGCTAGAGCAGGTCCAGTGTACCTAGGTCAGAAAGAGTAAAAGTACTCCCCTCAACCACACTCGGCGAGAGAGAGAGCCCAGCCCGAGACCTCCCCGCTGAGAGCCAGGGCGCAGGACCCGGGGTCTTCAGTGGCATCTCCACACTGATCGCCGGCAGGGCTGAGCTCCTACCATGACTAAAGTGCATGCAGTCCTTTTTCTTTCGGGCTGAAGTGCAAAATATTGGAAGAAAGCTAGCTAATCATCAGTTAATGCCTTCTACTGAGTTAATTCTCTATGTGAAAGCAAAGTGGGGACGCGGTGACGATGCTCAAGACGCACCCGCACGGACAGGTGTGCTCGAGAGCCCAGAAGCACGGACCGCCCTCGGGGACGGAGGGACGGGCCCGAGCTTCAGGGCAGCTGCGCCTGAGAGCTGGTGACCTGGGCTCCTCCGCCGGCTTCCCCACCTGCCGCCCTTCCCCACGCGACAGCTGCAGGCCCGGCCCCTCTCGGCCCTGTTGAGGATGGAGACCCGCAGACCCAGAAAAGGAAAGGTGTGCGGATCGATGCTAAGAATCTGGGCTGAGAATCGAACTCTCTGGGTGTGAATCCCACTTCTGCCTCCTGCAGGTTGTGTGAGCTCGGACACACGGCCTCATGGGGGGCGGGAGGGGACCCTGCTCGCAAGTCCCAAACTCCGCATGCGTGTGGACACGGGCACAGACCTTCACGTAAGCTGGTTTAAGACATTAATTGAAATCATTTGTAAATGATTTTATTTTGGCATTTTTTAAAAGACTTTATTTATTTATTCATGAGAGACGCAGAGAGAGAGGCAGAGACACAGGCAGAGGGAGAAGCAGGCTCCCTGCAGGGAGCCCGACGCGGGACTCGATCCCGGGACCCCGGGGTCACCGCCTGGGCCGAAGGCAGACGCTCCACTGTGGAGCCCCCGGGGCGTCCCTCCATTTTATATATGGGCAATTTCTGAGGATCGTGGTGTCAAATGATACAGAATTACTTAGCATTTTATGACAAGTAATTTTGCCAATGATTGTGTGAACTGTCTTTATATACAGTGTTAGGTAATGTGTATAAGATCGCTCTGCATAATGCTTGGTAGAGACACAGGCGGAAAGTGCAGATCTCCAGCCATGACCATGGGGATGCCTCGCCGAGTGTCCCCTTCTCCTTGGTACATCTTAGGACAGTTAAGGAAGACAAAATGTCAAGTAAGAGTCAATTAAAGAAAAAAGTAATGCTTTAATTTTATGTCTCCTCTCAATTCAATTCTCTCTGAAATAAGAGTAAGATAATCCTGTTCTTTGGTGACATCACTACAGAGAACCAGGTCAAAGCCCACAGAGAATCCGAGGAGCAGGACGGGCCAGCGGCTCTACATTTGCTCCCACAGCTTAGGGGAAAAGCAAAACAGATTCTCTGAAAGAAAACTGGAGCAATAGAGTAAATAAACGGTAGAAGACATCTCAAAATTCGATGCGGCTTCTTAAGACGTTTGCAATAAGGGGCGCCTGGGCGGCTCTGTCGGTGGAGCCTGCCTTTGGCTCGGGCCCTGACCCCGGGGACCTGGGGTGGACCCCCGCCCCCGTCCGTCCTCATGTCGGGCTCCCCGCTTCTCCCTGCCCCTGCCAGCTGCTCCGCTTGCCTCTTCTCTCTGGGTCTCTCTCTCTCTGTGTCAAATAAATAAATAACATCTTAAAAAAAAAAGTTTGCAATAAGATGTAAGTACAAATAAGATGCCGGTTGTGCATTTAAACTTCATTGTTACACGAAGGAATGAGGGAAACCCAACTAGCCTGTGTGGGAAAAGCTGGGGCAGTAACGTTGACCCCGGAGCAGAGGGGCCAAGGTCGTTGGGAGCAAAGTTACAAACCAAACAATGCAAAGTCAGTCTTTGCTTAAAGAATTTGAATTATTTGAAAATAAGAGTTCAAAGATAACGAATTCAATAATTCTCTGGGCTGTAACACGACTGGGTGTTTCCACCCGAGGACACGAGGACACGCTGGGCTAGTCAGGTGGGCCCGGCTCTGAGCTCCAGCTGGGGAGCGGCTGGCAATCCGGAGCCGCGGGGCCGCAGGGTCCATCCGTTGAGACACCTGTTCCTCAGACGTGCTAGAGGCGGAGACGGAGCAAAGGGGGACGAGCAACGTCCACCGTCAAGGAGAGGACGCTGGCAAACCTAGACAGTTGTAGGCGGAGGGCCGCCCGGGGGGCTCAGCGGTTGAGCATCTGCCTTTGGCTCGGATTGTGACCCCGGGGTCCTGGGATCGAGTCCTGCTTCAGGGTCGCCCCGCAGGGAACCTGCTTCTCCCTCTGCCTGGGTCTCTGCCTCTCTCTGTGGGTCTCTCATGAATAAATAAGTAAAATCTTAAAAAAAAAAAAAGAAAATTGTAGGTGGGGATCCATCTAGAAAATGAAATACATGCAATAACGCATATTTTGTTGGTGGTGAAATAAGAACAGCAAGTAATCTCTCAGGTTCTCTGCAGTAAGTTTCAGCTGCTTTTGGAGAAAATGGTAATTGTAGGTTTACACACTTACCTCGATTCCTATCTCAAATCCTCCACCAAGCCCAGCTATCCCAATGGCGGAGGGCGCAGACCATTCTAATAAAAACAAAGAAAAAAGCGTCACTCTAATATTAAAACCCCTTAAGTACACACCAAAACCACCATGAGATCCCACCTCACCCCAGTGAGAATGGGGACAATTAACAAGGCAGGAAACCATAAATGTTGGAGAGGATGTGGGGAAAGGGGAGCCCTCCTGCACTGTTGGTGGGAATGTGACCTGGGGCAGCCACTCTGGAAACTGTGTGGAGGTTCCTCAAAGAGTTAAAATTAGACCTGCCCTACGACCCAGCAATTGCACTGTTAGGGATTTACCCCAAAGATTCAGATGCAATGAAACGCCGGGGCACCTGCACCCCGATGTTTCTAGCAGCCATGTCCACAATAGCCAAACTGTGGAAGGAGCCTCGGTGTCCATCGACAGATGATGGATAGAGAAGCTGTGGTCTGTGGACACAGTGGGATATTCCTCAGCCACTAGAAACGACAAATACCCACCATGTGCTTCGACGTGGAGGGACCTGGAGGCTATGATGCTGAGGGAAGTCAGTCGGAGAAGGACAATCATATGGTTTCACTTATATGCAGAATATAAGACATGGTCAAAGGGATTATAAGGGGAAGGGAGGGAAAACTGAATGGAAGTCATCAGAGGGGAAGGCGAACCCAAGAGACTCTTAGCTCTGGGAAACACCCTGGGGGCACCGGGGGTGGGCGGGACTGGGGGTGCTGGGTGATGGGCGCGTGGTGGGTGAGCACTGGGTGTGATACACAACTGATGACTTATTGAACTCTACATCTGAAACTAAGGATGTACTATATGTAGGCTCATTGAATTTAAATGAAAAAAAAAAAAACAACAACAACAACATTAAAACCCCTTTGGTACCCAAATATGGGAAGGAAAAATGCTACAATGTGAAAGAATAGTGCTCTTTTAGAAATACTAAGACTTTTGTATTTCCCCCTCTGTTTTTAAATATTCTTTAATGAGCATATATAATGTTTAAGTTAAAAATATTTGAAAGGGGGCAGCCCCGGTGGCTCAGCGGTTTAGCGCCTCCTTCTGCCCAGGGCGTGACCCTGGAGACCCGGGATCGAGTCCCACGTCGGGCTCCCTGCACGGAGCCTGCTTCTCCCTCTGCCTGGGTCTCTGCCTCTCTCTCTCTCTGTGTCTCTCATGAATTAATAAATTTTTTAAAAAAATCTAAAAAAAATATTTGAAAGGTATCAGATATTGAGTCTCATGGACTCACAAATCCATGCCCCCTCATCTTTCTCTATAAACGTGCACACGACCAAACTAGCCAGCCCGTACCTGCTAACACACATGGTACTTGATAATCACAACTATTGATGCTTGGATGTTTCACAAAATAATTGAGCTGCAATTCTAGTTTTTGGTTAGAATTTTTTAAGAGATATAAGAGAGCAAATGACTTTAAAAAATTTTAATATTATCACTTCTAAGGGCAACACAATAATAAACTGTTTCTATTGTAAAACTCTGGGGGCAAAAACTGGCCTTTTTGTGCCTTGTAGAAGCACAAGAACTAGGTTATAAATTCAAGATTATTAAGATTTTAAGATGATAAATTTCCTTACATTTGAAAACTAAGTACAATAATTCCATTTGAATTAGGAAATAAATTAATTTGATGGGCGGAGGGTGGGACAGTATAGATAAAGTACTTTTCTGAAAATGCTTATTACCTTCCTAAACCTAATTTTGTGTTCTAGGTAACAGGATATTGCTTGAATATATTCAGAACTAATCTAGCCCGGCTTAGTGGGGTTTCGATTACAGAAATGAGTGTCATATAATCCCAAAGTTCTTCTCATTTCCTATGTTAGGAACCGACCTGTCTGAGGACAGCCCATCTGGCCAGGATCTGGGGAATTTGCTGCTTCCTTTGGGCGGCTTTTATCTTATCCTGTGCAGACGGAGCAGCTGGCGCTCGGGAGGGGGAGAGAAACGAGGCTACTGGGCCCCGGAGCAGGTCCACCTGAGGCTCTGAGACCCAGGGCGGTCGGGCCCCACCTCGGCAGAGAGCCGCCTGGTCAACCCGCACGGCGACCTTCTCATGGCCCTGAGCCCACGGGCAGTGCAGCGGCTCTGCAGAGGCCTAGGTCTGTGGGGTCACATCAGGGGACACAGGGAGCCTGACCCCGGGGACCAGGGCCCACACCCCACAGACCCAGGGGATCTACTGTACTTTAAGGTCACATCAGGGGACAGAGCCTGACCTCGGGGACCAGGGCCCATGCCCCACCGACACTCAGGGGATCTACTGCACTGTGGGGTCACATCAGGGGCCACAGCCTGACCCCGGGGACCAGGGTCCACACCCCACAGACCCCCAGGGGATCTACTGTACTGTGGGGTCACATCAGGTGACAAAGGGAGCCTAACCCTGGGGACCAGGGCCCATGCCCACCGACCCCCAGGGGTATCTACTGAACTGTGGGGTCATATCAGGGACACAGGCTGAACCAGGGACCAGGGCTCACGCCCCACAGACCCCCAGGAGATCTACTGCATGTGGGGTCACATCAGGGGACACAGCCTGACCTCGGGGACCAGGGCCCATGCCCCATAGATCCCCAGGGGATCTACTGCACGGTGGGGTCATATCAGGGGACACAGCCTGACCTTGGGGACCAGGGTCCTTGCCCACTGACCCCCAGAGGATCTACCGTACTTTAGGGTCACATCAGGGGCCAAACCTGATCCGGGGACCAGGGCCCACGTCCACCGACCCCCAGGGGATCTACTGTCATTGTCTCGTGCTCTTTTCCAGAGCAACATGAAATGATCTACACTAAAAAACATGTATTAAGAGAGAAATACGTTCAATTATGTGAGCGTACAGAGAATGTTAAATCGGCATAAACAGCTCTTTAGTTGGCTTTGACACACCTGCATGGTTTTAAATTATTACGCTAAATGTCGGCTAAACCTGGAATCGGGGGAAGTGCACTTTGATTTCATCTCTGAAAATCAAGGATTAGACTTCACCCCAGAAAGTAACACCAACGTGTCCGATCCCGATGGGCTCCCACCCTCACCCTGGGTACAGGCTTTAAAGAAAAATTCCGGTTTTTGTGGTTTCCCACGGGAACAGTAGAGCGATCAGAGATGGCTGAGATGGCCGGATCACCTTCCACAGGGCAAGTTACCCCTCGGGGTTGAGGGGATTCCTTCCGCCCCGAGACGCTCACCAGCCCGCCGGGTGTCTGCGCCGAGGGTGGCCCAGGGCAGCTGGGTGGGTGGAGGCCGGGTGGGGGGTTCAGGGGCGCGGGTGCCCATGCCGGGGCCGGACTGGGGACTCACCTCCGTGGGGCCTGCGCGCCAGCACCACGCCGCTGCCCCCTCTTGCCGTCACGAGGAAGCCGGCCCGGACCACGGACAGAAGCGCAAGGCCTTTGGCTCTAGCAATCACGTGGGCTGCAAGGTAGGAAGCGGCAGGTGAGCAGGTAGGACGGAGGGCGGCGTGGAGGACTCAGGACACAGCTCTGTGCAGCCGGGCCGGGGGGGGGGGGCGCCCATGGTAGGGAGTGGGTGCAGCTCAGGGCACCCAGGCCTTGGCCGCCACCTCCCGTCGGGGTGCTGCCTCCACCGGGGCGCCCAGCGTAGTGCTGCTCCCAGGTCCTGCACCTGCTGTCTGAAGGAGGCATGCGGGTGACCTTTCCTTACGGGCATCTGCTAGCAGGACAAGTAATTTGGAAACTTCAAATAATTGAGAATACAACTCATAAAAAAACAAGCTACTTGATTACAGGGAACACACAGGGCGGCTGGAGGAGGTGGGGTGGGGGACGGGGTCCCCGGGGGACGGGCACCAAGGAGGGCACGTGATGTGATGAGCACTGGGTGTCATATAAGAGGATGAATCACCGACTCTACCCCTGAAACCAATAATACATTATATGTCAATTAATTGAATTTAAATAAAATCTTAACAAATACAAAAAGAAAAAAAAAAACCCAAGTTACTGTTTTCAAAGGAATTAAGATCCACACGGAACTGAGTACTAAGGAGAAACCTCACAAGACGGGTGTGCCGCCAGCAGCAGAACTTGGATCTTAAAGCCATATATTTAGTTCACGTTTCATGAATATGAAAATTAGACATAAACACAGAAAACCCAAGTGATTTTGCCACTTTAAAAGACATTTAACTTTATAAAATGATCCAATCAAGTATTCAAGTGACTCATAACTGCTAGCGGACTAAGAATACCATTTAATTTATACCATATTCACATTTCAGGGAAGTCCATTACGTAAGATGGATTAATATACGTGCCCCTCAAACAGGGCACCTCCCTTTTCTGTGGATTTATTCACACAACAGGACATCTTCAAGCAACAAGGGAAGGGGCGCCCGGGTGGCCCAGGGGCGGAGCGTCTGCCTTCGGCCCAGGTGGTGACCCCAGGTCCCGGGATCGAGTCCTGCCTCGGGCTCCCTGCACGGAGCCTGCTTCCCCCTCTGCCTGTGTCTCTGCCTCTCTCTCTCCTTGTTTCTCATGAGTAAATAAATAAAATCTTTTTTTAAAAAAAAATTGACACAGGAAGCCTAAGCATCAGAAGTTACTCTTGCCTCTGACATCACTTTCCAGGTGTTTTGATTTCTCATTTTTAGTCAAATACTCCATCAAGAAAGTCAAATCAGACCCTCTACTCAAATACGCAGAAATGGTTTTATACGAGTCCTTAGAAAAACACTGAATTTCTAAATTTAGTTTCAAACCGCTTCAAAACTTTAGCAGGAGGGATCCCTGGGTGGCACAGCGGTTTGGCGCCTGCCTTTGGCCCAGAGCACGATCCTGGAGACCCGGGATCGAATCCCACGTCGGGCTCCCGGTGCATGGAGCCTGCTTCTCCCTCTGCCTGGGTCTCTGCCTCTCTCTCTTTCTCTCTCTGTGACTATCATAAATAAATTTAAAAAATTAAAAAAAAAACTTTAGCAGGAGACTCTGAGAGAACAGATCAAGGGCGTGAAGGCGCAAAGGCACGTGGGGAGGACAGGGCTGGGCTGCGACTGCAGCCTGCTGAGCGTGCCTTTGCTCTGCGTGGAAGGTCGTATGAATGTTGTGATGAGGTCGAAGCTGTGCTGTGTATCACACGGGTGTGTTTTTACAACCACATTTTGGCAGAGCATCTTCCTCCGCTCTCAGTGCGTGTACGGTCAGGACTGCCTCCGTTTACGAGGAACAAAAGCAGAGGAACGTATTTTATTTATTTATTTATTTAGTTATTTAGTTAGTTAATTTTATTTATTTTATTATTTTATTTATTTTATTTTTTATTTATTTTATTTTATTTTTTATTTTATTTTATTGCATTTATTTATTTTATTTTATTTTACTTTATTTTATTATTTTTATTATTTTATTTTATTTTATTATTTTATTTTATTTATCTTATTTATTTATTTTATTTATTTTTATTTTATTTTTTTGATGAACATATTTTAAATGTCATGTTTGTATTTATGGATTTTCTACCCAGATTTGGAAGACACTAAAATACCACTAATGCCTGAATAATTTGCCAATTGGCTTTTTATTTACAGTATTGATGCGCTGGTTACAGATCACTGATGGAATTCCACTGCACAGAATCCAGGAGGGATAATCCAAACCCAGATGTTTCTGTGTCAGGAAATACAATTTATTCATGAATTGGGCTAGCAGGCTGTGTATGCAGATGCTCACATATATCAAGACGTGTCTTCTATCTCCTGCTTCAGAATACTGTTACTGAAAATTCGTTTTTTCTGGCTGAATTTTCTTCAAGTCCTAAAGCAGCATTTATCGGACTGGTATGTGCATACAGATCACTGAGATCTCGTGAAAAATGCAGATTCTGACTCCTTAGGCTTCAGAAGAGCCTTGAGATCCTGCATTTCTAACAAGCCCCCAGTTGGTCGAGTCCACACCTTGAGGAGCGAGGCTCCAGGAAGCACTGTGTCCTCCATGGGAGCAGTGACTGCGCCAAAATAACAATCGTTAATATTGTTATTATTATTATAACAACAATAAATTAATCTTTTTTTTAAAGATTTTATGTATTCATGAGAGACACAGAGAAAGATGCAGAGACACGGGAAGAGGGAGAAGCAGGCTCCCTGCGGGGAGCCCGACGTGGGACTCGATCCCAGGACCCCGGGGTCACGCCCTGGGTGGAAGGCAGACGCCCAACCACTGAGCTACCGATGTGTCCCTACATTAATCTTTTTAAACATTTAACATTCTGCTAAATAACTTAAAAATCTGGCTTAAGAAATTAATCTAGTTTTTTTTTTTTTTTAAGTTAAATTAGTTTTCGTTCCTGCAGGATTGGCGTCCTCCTGCGTGGCAACTGGTCAAAAGGGAAGGCAGAGGCAGTCTGCGCAGTGCCCAAGCCGGTTCGCACACAAGTCTTCTTGGCCTCTTGGAGTTCACCTTAACCACCCAGTAGGAGCCACTGGTCGTGGCCAAGGACAGACAGTGGTTCCCAAAAGCACCCCCGGGCCTAGGTCTTCTGTGCTCCGCCTCCATTAGATCAACGAGAGTGGTTGGGGCGGCCCTGCGCCCCGTCTGACTCAGCAGCCCTGGCGGGAGGTCAGGCTCTGCATTTTCAAGGCCCAAGGAGTTACTGAGCCGCGTCTTCTTCAAGCAGGATAAAAGGCAAATATCTTATCTCAAGAGAGAAACCCCCAAATCAAAATGTATGTATCAGATTAGCCAGTGATTCTGCAAGATAAGGTTGTGAAGGCCTGAGAAACTGCGGGCGAGGACAGGTGAATTTAGGGAGAGCCCAGGTGCGCCAGGAAGAGGAGGCAGGGAAGGGCAAGGGGGTGGGGGTGTGGGGGCCCCAGGAGACTCGCTGGCAGACCAGCCAGGAGGATAAGGTGCTCTTAGGGGTCCCCGGCCTGAGGCCAAAGACCACACCAAGCAGCTCAGGCAACAAAACAAATTGAGAAATGAGAGGTACATAGTTTACTTACCAGGAATGATCTTATCAGGTCCATTTCTGGAAGTTATTTCCGTGAATTCTCTTAGGATTTTAGCAGCCTTTTTTGCTTCTGATTTCAAATTGGAAGGTATAGGATTGTTCACTGAAAGATTAAAAAAAAAAGAGAGAGAGATTTTAATGAAAAAATCCAGTAAGTAGGAGTTAGGAATCTATTATAATTTCATTTCTACTCATGCACAATTGAGCATTAACAAATAGCATCCTTCTAGCAAAATAAATGAACTAGAAATGCTCAAATTATTGTCTCATCTCTATTCTCCTGATGAATTCACTCTGAGGTTGGGAAACCCTAAACCCTCAAAATCCCAGAAATTATAAAATCCTGGGATAAAATCCACGTCAAAATGTGGAGCTATCCTATGGATTATCCTTGTCAGTGACGGTGGGAGTGACTCCGGAGCCGCCGATGAGTCCCCCCTGCACGTCCTGGGGGAGTCGGGCCACCACCCGGCGCAGCCCCCTCGGGCCCTGAAGCCCCAGAAGGACCGGCCCTTTGTCACAGGAGGAGGAAGCGCAAGGCCACAGAGCAAGAGGCCTCAGGGCCAGGGGAGCCGTTCAGGCCATCGAATGCATTTTTCACTTCCACCTGACACTTTCAGCTCTGAAAGTTCCATTTGTTCTGGTTTTTCCATTTCTGTCCTCAGTATGTTGTTCTTTCAATACTTGGGCATATTTTAAAAGATGCTTCTTTGTCCTCGTCAGACAATGGCGTCCTCTTTGGCCTTTTGGGATGTGGGCCACCCGTTTCTGAGGTTGAGGGGTGGCTGGCAGGTGCGCCCCCCACCCCAGGTGGTCCCCGATGCCTGCAGCAGCCCAGGCGGGGCACCTCACGGGGTCCTGACCCTCCCGAGCAGGGGGGCCGCTCAGGCTCCGCCTCGGTGCCCCATCCAGGGGCTCCCCACGGGCCTCTCCAGTGGAAGCCGGCGCCTGGCAGGGTGGGCTGGTCCCCGGGGCTTCGCCGCCCTCTGCAGAGCCTGCCTCACAGATCCAGAGTCCTGGGCTCCCCAGGCCCGGGGTGTCTCTCCTGCAGCCGGAGACAGGCACGGGTGACCCCCCCCCCCGGAGCTCGCAGGTGCCTCCAGGTTGGAGCCCGGGCGGTCCTGGGGGTCGCCCCCACCCCACTGCCCTGGATCTCCCCCCTGCAGGAGCACATCTCGGAGCCCAGGCCTTCCCGGGGTCACCCCCCCATCTCCCCCCTGCAGGAGCACATCCCTGGCACATCTGCCGGTTTCTGGGGGTCACAGTAAGTGGCGGGGGGGTTTTCAGTGTCTGAACGTCTTCCTGGGCTTTCACTTGTTGAGTGACGTCAAGTAACTTTCCATCCCCTCCAATCCCTCGTGCTGTCCCACCAGGGCAGTATTTCTTGTTTGTTACTCATTTATAAAGTAAGGGAATTAAGGTTTTTCTAGAACATGAGTTACAAATTTTGATTTGCAGCTTGTCATTTGTCTTTTCAATGTTCCTATGATGGTTTTTTGACTTTTTGTCTTAACGACGTCAAGTTCGTCTCTTGTAAATTTTACAAGTATCCTGACCAACAAAATGATTCACAAGTTCATATGGAAAAATAAACAAGCGAGAAAATATGGGGGAAAAGTATATAACAGAAGAATAACGGAGAGGTGAATCTCTGCCAGAAGTTGCAACGTATGATAAAGCCTCCATAATTTGCAGTAGATGCAAGTATAGGTAGAAGAGTCAATTTTACGAAGTAGAAAATTCAGAAATTGGCCCAAATGTATAAAAATAATTTAATATATAATAAAATAAAATAAAGCACCTTAAGTCAATGTAGAAAAGCTAAGTTACACAATAAATAGTGATCTTTTTGGGGAAAAAAAATCATCCACCGCTTCATGTTACTTATGGACAAACTCCAAATTCATCAATGATTTGAAATGCCAAAAATCAAACCATAAAAGAACCAGAAATTAAGTGAGAATTAGTTTTCAAATTCATAGTGCGAAAGGCCCAAGTATGACAAAAACATTCTGTATTTTTAAATGATCGGAAAATATGGCAGAAGCATATTGTAAAGGAAAAAGAAAACATACACGTACGCAAATATCGAGGAAAAAGCCACCCCCACTATCAGTATCCACCGACACTACTGTCTGCACTTTCGTGCCTCAATTGACTCCTATTGCCAAATATGTAGATTATTTCCATTTTCTGCTTTACAGATACTGCTGTTGGCTGACGATCATCTTAGGATAGAGTCTCAAGGGTTGGCATCGATGAATCCAAAAAAAAAGAAGTTTGTTAGCTTTTCATTGCATTATCAAATTGCCTCCTACAGGGCAGCCTGGGTGGCTCGGTGGTTTAGCGCCACCTTGGGCCCAGGGCGTGACCCCGGGGTCCTGGAATCGAGTCCCGCGTTGGGCTCCCTGCATGGAGCCTGCTTCTCCCTCTGCCTGTGTCTTTGCCTCCTTCTCTCTCTCTCTCTCTCTCTCTCTCTCTCTCTCTCTCTCTCTCTGTGTCTCTCACTAATAAATAAATAATAAATAAATCTTTAAAAAAAAAACCAAAAAGCAAATTTGCCTCCTACAGATACTACCCAGATTTCACTGATGGAGCCACCCAGGCGCCCAAAACATTCCCCAAGTTCAGAACCACTGGGTATTACCATAAAATTCCCACGGTTACAGGCGACACTGGTAACGGCGAAGTCCATACATCAGAAAACAGCATAACAAATTTTATTTGGATTTATCTGAATACTAGTGAATTTTTCTTTTGTTTGTTTACATTTCCTGTTTTGCTTATTTTCTGTTCACATTCTTTGACTGTTTTTCTGGTGCCATACTCCTTTTGTCTATAATTTTAATCAGGTTGTAAATCTATGTCTCTGCAGCTTTTCTAAAAAAAAAAATTATAGTTTTTCAGCATATGTTTTTACTTACATGGCAACATTTCTCTAGCCTTTCTACTGTTTTCATCTTTCTAATACTGTGACTAAAGGCCTTAAAACAAAACAAAACTATATGGTCATTATGCTATAGCCTCTTCCAGAGCTTATATTTTACATTAACTATTTGGTGCATCTCAGACTTACATTGGTGTAGGATATGAAGTAGGAACCTAATATTTTTTACATATACAGCACAACTTACTGAATAATCTATAGCACTTAAGGTGGAAGGGGAGGTGGGCGGGGGGTGGGGGTGACCGGGTGACGGGCACTGAGGGGGGCACTTGACGGGATGAGCACTGGGTGTTATTCTATATGTTGGCAAATTGAACTCCAATAAAAAATAAATTTATAAAAAAATGCTACCTTTCTAACAAAAGAAAAAATATTCAGATGTGTATTCACATATTTAAAAATATATGACAGAGATGACGTGGTACTTGAATACATTATTCTGGGACAGATGGTCGTTCAAATAAAAACAAAATTAGAATATCACATCATACACAATTTCAATAATTGATCGCCTTAATACTAAATGCAAAATTTAGTACTTTTAGAATGAAAGTAATAGGGACGACTGGATGGCTCAGTGGTTGAGCGTCTGCCTCCGGCTCAGGGCGTGATCCTGGAGTCCCGGGATCGAGTCCCGCATCAGGCTCCCTGCGTGGAGCCTGCTTCTCCCTCTGCCTGTGTCTCTGCCTCTCTCTCCATGACTCTCATGAATGAATGAATGAATGAATGAATGAATAAATACAATCTTAAAAAAAAAAGAACAAAAGTAATAGAAAATATCTTGACTATTTGGGCAATGGAGGAATGCCCTAAATAATCCACAATAAGAAGGGGAAACTACAGATATATTCAGTTACATTAAAGTCAAGAAAAGGTTGTATCAACATACATCTGAAAAATAAAAATTCAACTGAAATGCTGGACGGTATCTGTCATACATATAAATGTCAGAGATCTGGGGTCCAGAATACACAGAGACCTTGCAAAAAATCAATAAAAATACAAGTAGCACAACAGAAAACCAGGCAAAGTGTCCGGTTAGTTGATTCACAGAAGAGGAAAACTCTGTGGCTGGTGCGGACGTGCCGCGTGGGGCGTGTGGGTCGGGACAGAAGGGCAGTGTCGTGTCCTGTCGGGGTAGAAGTCGGTGCCAGCACCGTGGGGGCCGCGGTCAGGACACGCACCTCTTGCGGGAGTGGGCGAAGGCCGTGGGTGTGCGGGGGCCTCGGCAGGTGCGGGGAGGGGGCACGGGGTGAGAGCACCGCAGCCGCCTCCCACGATGGGTAAGAGTCACGAGGGGCTCGGAGAGACGCCAGGGAGCGGCCCAGAGCCTCGGCGCCAGCGTGGCCCTGCCCCACGTCGGCAGATCTCCGTGGGGGGCCCGGGGCACGGCCGCAGGGTTCCTGACAGCAAACTGACAACAACACAGAAACGCATCCAAAGAAGGAAACTAATTTTCCCCAAGAAGAGGATGGATGACTTTGGTCTGGTGTGGCCTGAAAGCCGCGTTCAACTAGACACACGCGTGTCTCCGTGGGAAAGTAGGGATAACAGAGGAAGAACAAGCTGCATGAAGACACGCGGGGGACCACACACGGACACAGACGGGAGCAAGCACATACATTTATTTTTTTTATATATATATTTTTTAAATTGCATTTATTTATTAATAAGAGACACACAGAGAGAGAAAGAGGCAGAGACACAGGAGAGGGAGAAGCAGGCTCCATCCCGGGAGCCCGACGTGGGACTCGATCCCGGGACCCCAGGATCACGACCCACGCTGAAGTCGGCGCTAAACCGCTGAGTCCCCCGGGCTGCCCAAGCATCTACATTTATACAACACGTAAGCATAAATGATAAAATCTACCTGTAACAAAATATATACAATATTTATGTGTAAAATTCATCTATAAGATATAAATATACATAACAGAAGCCCAGGGATCCCTGGGTGGCGCAGCGGTTTAGCGCCTGCCTTTGGCCCAGGGCGCGATCCTGGAGACCCGGGATCGAATCCCACATCGGGCTCCGGTGCATGGAGCCTGCTTCTCCCTCTGCTTGTGTCTCTGCCTCTCTCTATCTGTGTGACTGTCATAAATAAATAAAAATTAAAAAAAAAAAAAACATAACAGAAGCCCAGTGGTATTTGACTG